ATCTTCGCCCTCGGCTTCAATATCAATTGGAACGTGTTGGCCTTCGGATTCGTCCTCGTGATCGGACTCGTTGTCGTCTTATTCGTTCATATCGGTATCGAGATTGGTAACAACTTCCTTAGGCTTTGTCTTTCGGGTGAGGGGTGGAGCTAGGTTGGGTCGGGCTTCGTAATTGCGTCGTCTTGTAACAATGTTGCAGCTCAGCGCGGGCTCGATACTAGGTCGTTCGATTGCCGCGACTGGGATTGTTCGCTGGAGATCGGGATCGGAGTTAGTCGCAAGGGCGGCTAAAGCGTCAGCGGTTGCGTTTTCGTCACGCGGTATTTTCGTGAGCTCAAAGGTCGAGAATTCCGAAGCAATATCTTTGAGGACTTTGAGGTATGCATCCATGCGATCATTCTTGGCTTCGTTTTCACCGTGAAACTGATTAGCTACGAGTTGAGAGTCACAGTAGGCATGGACGTGTTCGGCGCCGATTCCTTTAGCGAGTAATTAGTGCTTCGTATTCGGCTTCGTTGTTTGATGCCGGGAATCCGAGGCGGAACGACTGCTCGATGACTTCGCCCTCCAGAGATTTGAGACGAATTCCGACGCTGGATCATTTATGGGAAGAGGAACCATCGGCATGAAGGATCCATGGTTGTATGGCGGGGTTAGCATCGACGAGCTCGAGTGGGAGTTCGACCAAGAAGTCCGCCAACACTTGGGATTTCGTCGCGGTCCTTCCTCAATACTCGATATCGTATTCGCTAAGCTCGATGGCCCATTTGGCGAGTCGGCCGGATTGACTTGGGCTGTGAAAGAAGGTGCGGAGAGGATGGTCGGTTAAGACAACGATCGAGTGCGACTGAAAGTACGGGCGTAACTTTCGTGCGGAGATAACCACGGCGAAGGCGAATTTCTCCAAGGTTGGGTAGCGATATTCTGATCCATCGAGGGACTTACTCGTGTAGAAAATTGGCTTCTGTTCGCCACGGTCTTCTCGAACAAGGACACAGCTGACCGCGTACTCCGAGATCGCGATGTAAAGGTAGAGCGTCTCGCTAGTTTTGGGCTTGGATAGAACTGGCGGTGTAGACAAGTATTTCTTAAGCTCGGACAAAGCTTCTTCGCACTTCTCGTTCCATTCCAAATGCTTGTTACCGCAGAGAAGTTGGTAGAACAGCAAGCACTTGTCTGTCGATCTGGATATGAACCGATTAAGTGCTGCAATGCGTCCGGTTAGTTGCTGGACTTCTCGTTTGGTTGTCGGAGACGGGAGCTCGAGTATAGCTGCGATCTGCTTCGGATTAGCTTCAATACTGCGCTGTGTGACTATGTATCTGAGGAACTCGCCGGACGTTACGCTGAACGTGCACTTAGTGGGATTGAGCTTCATGCCATATTGGTCTAGAATATCGAAGCATGTGCGAAGATGGCTGACATGATCGGAAGCGACGAGCGACTTGACAAGCATGTCGTCAATGTAGACTTCCATAGTTCGCCCGAACTGGCTTGCAAACATTCGGTTGACCAGGCGTTGGTACGTTGCTCCAGCGTTCTTCAAACCAAAGGGCATAACCTTATAGCAGTATATGCCGCGGTCCGTGATAAATGATGTCTTTTCCCGATCTTGTGGATGTATAAGAATCTAGTTGTAGCTGGAGAATGCGTCCATAAACGAGAGTAGCTCGTTTCCGGCAGTTGCTTCCACGAGGCGGTCGATATGAGGCAAAGGAAAACTGTCTTAAATCCTCCATTTGCCGTTCTTCTTTTTTACGACCACGGGATTTGCTAGCCAATTAGGGTACTTGACCTCAGTAACCGCTCGACCTCATCGTTGACGGCTTGTGCCTTCTCTGGTCCGAATTTTTGGCGTTTCTACTTGGTCGGCTTGTATGTCGGATCGATGTTGAGCTCGTGACAAGCGATTTGTGGATCGATCCCGGGCATATCCTCTACTGACCATGCAAAGGTGGATGAGTGTTGTTTCAGGAAATGAACGAGTGTATCGCGGATACTTGGGTCGAGTTCGGCGCCGATGCCGACTTGGCGTTCTGGCCTTAGTTCGTCGATGCAGACTTGAGTAATTGACTCTTGCTTAGATTTCATTTTCTGGACAATGAGCTCGGTCGTTGGACCTTGCGAACTGATGACGCAGACTTGGTTGGCCGAACGAAGCTTGCATTCATTTATGTAGCACGATCGGGCCACGGCTTGGTTCCCTCGGAGGGTGTAAACACCGTCGGGAGTTGGGAATTTCAGGCATTGATGGTACGTAGAGGCCACTGCCTTCATCGCGTGTAGCCACGATGTGCCGAGAATAGCGTTGTAGATCGCTGGTTTATCAAGGATGAGGAACTGGATGATCTTCGCAACTCCGGTGAGGTAGATCGGGATTTTGACCGTGCCGACCGTCATGCAGCGTTCGCCGTCGAACCCTGTGAGTGGCTCGATAAAGGGCTCGATCTTGTCTGATGGTATATCGAGCTGATCAAGCGCGTCATTCGACGTCGTCGAGAAGTAGTTCGACGACGAGGGCATCGTTATGTGGTTTGTGCAACCCGATTAAGTCGGCTTTGTTGAATATCAAAGGGGTTCCCTTCGGCGGGTCGTGCGGGAGTTTAGGCGCGGTGGTGGCCTGTCTACTGTATTCCTTGATGGCCGAACCGAATAACTGCAGGCTTCTATAGCTCCCATAATCATGTTGACGCGCTTCCTTGCTTTGGGAGTGTGGTTTTCTGGCGCGCGATCGTCACGGTTGTGTTTCGGTTGCTCGGGTAAACCAGGTTGATTCGGTGGAGGAGGTGGCATTCTCGGGTGGTATGTTATTCGGTCGAGGTGACTTACTTCTTGGAGCGGTTGAACGACGGAGATCGTCGAGCGAGATTTGTCCTTTTCGATACTGCGCGAGCAGGTATTCCCGTAGATGTCTGCAGTCTTTGGTGCTATGTCCTTTACGGTTATGGAATTCGCAGAACAATGACTCGTGTTGATCTTCTTCACGGCGGCCTACTTATTATTCCACTGTTTGGACCGTTGCTGGATGGCATTAGCGTAGAACTTCTTACGATTCTCGTACCCTCTGCTATAGCCCGATTGTTCATTAGTGGCGGCCTTTGGTCGTTCGGGCTGCTTTGCCGAATAATTCTGCTCATAGGCTGCCTCTTCTTCTTCTTCGGCGATGTAAGTATTAGCTCGGTGTAATGCGTCCTCCAAGGTCTGCGGGGGGTTGTGCGTGATCGAGCTCCGGAAGCTTGTTTTTATTCGAGCTCCTTTCTGGAGACATAAGAGAGCGGCTTCGTCGCTGATCGTGCAATTGGCGACGATCGTCTTAAAGCGTTGAATGAAGTCACGGAGGCTCTCGCTTGCTCTTTGGGCTATCTGCCATGGCTCAGAGTTCTTGGTGTTCTGTCCGATGAACATTGAGAAATGTTTAACAAAGGCCGTCGTCAGCTCCTTATAGTTATTTATTGAGTTCGCCTCGAATCGTGAGAACCAGTCGAGAGTTATTCCTCCTAGACTCTCGACAAACAACTGGCAGTGGACCGCATCCCTCTCCTCGGCGGATCTGAACTGGTATCGATTCATGCAGATTCCAAACGATGTCAAAAAATGCCGGGGGTCGGTATTGCCTTCATAGATCTTGATCTTGAGTTTCTCCATGTGTTTGACAGGCGTTCCCGCTATGCGCGGCGTAAAGGGTGTCTTTTGTGTTTCCTGAATGACGCGCTCGATCTCCGGGGCTGCGCTCGTTGCTTGGTGAATTTTCGAAGTGATCTCGCGAAGTTGTGCCTTCATTGCTTCGAACTCGGCATCGCGACTCAGATCTGATGGTGCTAGAGCGTTTGCTGATCCGACAGCAGTGGATCGCATAATTCCGGCTGGGTCGCCATCAGTATTGAGGTCGTCAATGATGTTCCGAACTCGAGGGGAGTCCGTGCTTGACTGAGCTCGGTGATCTGTGCCGCCATCTGACTGAAGCGTTCTTCGCTCCTTTTGTGGATAGCTTCAAACTGAGCATTGAACACTTGGAGCAGTAGTTCAGTTCCAAATCCTCCTACGGCTGCGGGAGTCTGGCCGGCTTCTACTCCAGTGGTTTCCCCAGGGGTTCCTCCTGTCTGTTTCGCGGGGGCTCGGATGTTGCTGCTCCCTTTGCCGTGAGGGTTTTCTTCCTCATGGACGTTGGCTTGGTCTGTCATAGCTGACTCGATTTCTCGGAAATCCGATCTAAAACAGTATATTCTGTTAAGTGCCCTTTCCTGATGCGCCAATTGTTGATATGTGTATATCGACAAGGGACAAAACAGTAACTTAGATCAAAATTCGGATTTTATTAGATCGGTCGCGAATACAACTGAGTTCGTCTATGTAAATGATAAACGAACTAAGACTTAGGAAATTAAGAAACTAATGAATGCCTTGAGCTCTCAATCTCCAAATCTCTCGGGAATTTTCTGTGTTTTCTGGTGTCGATTACTCTTCCTTTATATATGTCTTCTAAGTCGGTCTTCGTGAGTCTTCTCTGCGATATGGGACCGAAAAGACTTTTCTTTTCTCTCAGTTCTTTTCCTTTTCTCATGGTAGTTTCCTTTTTCTACTCGGAAACTTTCTATTTTTCTCCAAACTCAGAGAACTTCTCGGTTCCTTTGCGAAGTTTCTGACCGACTTCGGCTTGTTAGGCTACGTTCGGCCCAAGAACTCACTCGGTCCAATATTCTCGGTACATTCCCTTCGTAAACCAGGATTACGTCGTGCCGATCTCGGTTTGTACCGGAGAAAACCGGGGGTGTGGTTTTCACCACTAACACATTGGCTTGTTGGGATTTTGATAAAACGATGGTAAAATTTCCAAAATGATTCTGTAAAGAAAAAACACCAAACTACTTTTTACTGATCTTTAAAATTGGAGAGTGTTTTGAGAGTTAGAGGATTCAATACTTAAGTTGAGATTGAGATTAAACACAGTCCTCCTTGTTTAAAAACACAGCAAGATCCTCCTTGTTCAAAAATACTGAAAGATGATGCCATGTTTTCTCTTATGCAACATTCGTATCTAACACCAGTTAGTTTAGTTTGAAAATTGAAACCCATTGTTGATTTTATTTTTTTGGTTTAATGATTTGTTCCAATTGTACAATAATAAGAAACTAAAAAACTTGTTCGTATTGTCACGGTCTTTTTGGCCAACCAAATAACTGGGCCCAAGCCTGAAGATTTACCGTTTTATTTAGTTACATATAGTAATCTTTTTTCCATTTGTTATTGTGGGTTTAGAATCTGACCTAGAAGCAAAGGTAATTAGGGTTTTGTGCTTTTTCTCTCTGAGATCGGGTGATTGTTGATCATCTGGTGGAGATGTCATCCAAAATTAGTGCAAAGAAGACGCTATCGTCGTCTCTGATTAGGTTACTTCCCGAAGACGTCATCGTTGACATCTTAGCACGTGTACCTAGATGCGACTATCCAACACTCTCCCTTGTTTCAAAACACTTCCGATCACTCGTTGCGTCCCGTGAGCTATACGCAAGACGATCCTTGTTGGGTTGCACGAAACACTGTGTCTATGTTCTCCTCTTTAACGGAGAAACTGGTGAAGACCGATGGTATATTCTCCGCCAGAAAGCCGAGGGCAATCGCCGCTTGGTCCTTATCCCTTCGCTTTCTGTTATGCCTTACGGTGGAAGCTTTGTCGCCGTGGGTTCAAGGATATATATGTTTGGTGGGGACCAGAATAATATGGCGTTAAGCATCGACTGCAGATCTCACACGGTGCAAACCCTCCAAAGCATGCCTGTGCCCATGTCTTATATAATCGCTAACATCATCCACGAGAGAATCTACGTAATTGGAAATAATGAATCGAAGAAGGTGATGGTGGTGTTTAATACAGAAACACAAACGTGGGAGCCTGAGGTGATAAAGATAGACATTGATCTAGGTGACATGTGGCCTCGTTGTGTGGTGATGGCTCATAAGCTGTACATGAGGGATTCTCATAACAGCTTTGTTTACGAGCCAAAGAAGAGCAAATGGAAAAGGGACGAGATGTTGAATTCTAAGAAGTGGTGGAATGCGTGTGTAGTTGATGACGTATTGTACTACTACAATGGGGTCAAAAAGGAGATAAGAGCTTATGATCCAAAGCAAAGGTGTTGGAGAGTGGTGAAAGGTTTGGAAGAGTTGTCTAAGAGGACATATTCATGGCTTTCAAGTACTGTGAGTTACGGTGGGAAACTGGTTTTGTTTTTTCGTAAAAGATTCGGTTGGACGATTTGTTGTGCGGAGGTTTCTCTAGAAAAACACCAAGGAGGAGAGATTTGGGGTAAAGTTGAGTGGTGTGATCATGTTTTTACTGGTGTAAATTTATATTGGAATAAAGCTTTAGCTGTTGTAGTTTGATAAAGGAACTCTTTCTTCAAATAACTTGTGTTCTTGTTTTTTTTTTTAAAAAAGAAATTCTTTGTACAGCTTCACCCAAATGTCTATATGACCAGAACAGAGTCCGGTTATAATTCAGATCAGTTTTCCAGAAACGTTTTTTTTATGAAATCCAAAACGGAATCGAAAATCCGAATGCACAGATCGGTAACATGTTGATGCCAAAGGAGTTGAGGAGCACTCTGGGTCATTTTACATGCCAGAGTTTCTTCTTCTTCTTCTTGTGAGTGTGTGTTTCCTTGGTTTAGTGCATTTTTGCTTTGCTTGTCTTTGAATCGTTTTGGAAGTCCCTGACTAGCTTCTTCAGGTCTGCGCTAAACGTAGGATGCGCTGCGGCATGTGTTTGCTAGTAGAATCGCATAATCTTCGGAGATGTCTGGGTTTCAATCAACTTAGAAAAAAATGTCACTTGAGTGAGGTGGGGAACTTCAGGTTTTTTGCATGCCCATCTATAGATTCTTTCGATCTGAAGTTGCTTAACATTTACGTTTGTTAGTTACTATTTTTCGAACCGGTTTAGCTACTTTTGATGCATGGTTCTAGAAATACAATGGCTTAGTTTTGAAATCACATAGATAGAAGAAGAACACTTCGAATTTCTGTGCTGAAGAAAAGTATTCATACTTATTTTTTGTGCTGAAGAAAAGTATTCATACTTATGTTTTGGACTATACTCCTCTTACACCATACAGAAAGGAAGACGAAGAAAGTGAAGATTTTCATGATATCACAAAATATTGAAGTCTAGTAGGAGGACTAATGTATCTGGCATCAACACGACCAGATATATCATTCGCAGCGTCTTATCTATCAAGATATATGCAAGCACCTAAGCTACAACATTATAAAGAGGCTATACGAGTGCTTTGTTATATCAAAGGAACTAGTAATTATGGTCTAAGTTTTCAGAAAGTTGCAGAGGCAAAGAAAGTTGGATTCTCAGACTCAGATTGGGCAGGATGCAAGGAAGACATGAAAAGCACGACAGGATATTGTTTTAGTCTGGGAAGCGCAGTGTTTTCATGGCGGACACAAAAACAAGGAACAATAGCACAATCAACAGCAGAAGCAGAATATATAGCTTTATGTGCAGCAACAAATCAAGTAGTATGGCTAAGAAGACTACTAACCGAGTTAGGATTTGAAGAGGAAGAACCGATACCTTTGATTTGCGACAACACCTCAGCAATTGCAATCGGTCGGAACCCAGTGCATCATAAACGAACAAAACACATGCCAATCTAATATCACGTTGAGAGAGATTCACAACTGGATGAAGTAATCAATTTATTGTTCAAGTCATGAGCAAAGAGACGATATACTTACCAAAGCTATTGGAACAGCACAGTTCGAGAGGCTACGAGAACAGTTGGGAGTCACTAAATACAAGCTTAGAGAGAGTGTTGGGATAAGCTTGTCTCAGCTAATTGGAGAAGAAGAAGAATCAATTAAGGAAGAAATGATGAAATAATTTGGAGGGAAGATAAGGGAAGAATTGATAAACATGTGACAAGCACATGATTAGTGCTTTATAAAGAAGGTGATGGTGGTGTTCAATACAGCAACACAAATGTGGGAGCCTGAGATTATAAAGATAGACTTTGGCCTAGGTTACACGTGGCTTGGTTGTGTGGTGATGGCTGATAAATTTTACATGAGGGATAATGAGAACAGCTTTGTTTACGACCCAAAGGAAAGAAAATGGGAAAAGGACGAGATGTTGAATTCTAATAAGTGGATGCATGCGTGTGTAGTTGATGACGTATTGTACAACCACTATACGGACGAGAAGGAGATAAGAGCGTATGATCCAAAGCAAAGGTGTTGGAGAGTGGTGAAAGGTTTGGAAGAGTTGTTTTCTGAGAGGATGGAATTTTCAAGGACTGTGACTTACGGTGGGAAACTGCTTTTGCTTTTTTCTAAAGTGTTCAGAAAGAAACCATTAGAGATTTTCTATGTGGAGATTTCATTGGAAAGAAATCAAAGAAGAGAGATTTGGGGTAAAGTTGAGTGGAGTGATCATGTTTGGAATGCTGTGAAGTTTGACTGGAATAAACCTTTAGCTGTTGTAGTTTGATAAAAGAACTCTTTCTTCATATAACTTGTAGTTATCATCATTTTCATTAGAAACAAATTGATCAGAATTGAAAAACATATTTAGACTTCTCGGTTCTTGATTTCATTCTTATAATTTTTCACATTTCGGATTTTAACAAAACTTTAATAGAATTTTTTGTGAGAGCTTTGCATCTTTAATTATTTTAGTTTCATAGACTTCAAGCAAAGCTAGTTATGGTTTTTGCTTCATAAGCTTTTCCATAAGTACACATTGCGGTCAAAGTACAGTAAAAAAAAATCCCCACAAAAAATATCCCAAAGAAATTAAAATCAATCAAAGCATCAGAATCAGAGTTTACAGTGGAAAACAGCAGAGAAAACGAAGAAGAAGTTGAAGATAACCAAATTGTTGTGGTGGCTGTAATCTTGATTAGCAATTCAAGTAACTTCTTGTTTTGAAACAAGGAAAAGTAAGTGCAAGTGTGTGATGTCGTGATGTTTACACTATCTTTTTAAAAACTGCGCGTCATTTATCTCTTCGCAAAACGGCCCGAGCTTTCAGCTTTTTTTTTTTTAATCTATCTGCGCTCCGATTGTTGAAACAGACCAGTTTTTGTTATTAAGTTACTTTCTCGAAATGGGTATGTGGGTACCGATTACAGAGGTGTGAATTTTTAGTTCCCGATTGATTTTTGATTCTTCTTTACTCCAAAATTGTGATTTTGTTCTTCATTTCAGGTTTGCAAATTCAAAGAGACGATCCTACTCTGAAAAGTTAGTTTTTTTTAGTTCTCTCTTTTGTCTCCATTTAAAAAGTTTTGAATTTTCCAATACAAAGTTGCAAGGTTTTACAGTCGATAGTAAATCTCATCCTAAACCATAAACCCTTTATTCTTTTAGGGGACCTTGGAAATCTCTGTAAGACTATATTCTTCCTGTTGAGTGTTATGCTAAATTAACGAATCTTTGAAAATGTAGCAATTGAGGGTGAATTGGAGGTTGCTATATACAAGGCTGGTGGGATTCTAGATAGTAACTTTGGTGATCTTCATAAGATTGGTTTGGCTAGAAGTAGCCGAACTGATAAAGGAGTAAGCTTTCTAATGCATATATTCACTGTTTGTGTCTTTGATTGTTGTTTGATGTTTTAAACTTTGTTTTAGGTTCATTCTTTGGCAACGACAATATCGCTGAAAATGGAGATCCCTGACACTGCGTGGAAGGATGATCCTCACGGCACTGTTTTTTTTTTTAATCGATAAGAGCTTTTACAGAGCATGTTACAGAGCAGTTCCAAAAGAAAATACGCTGGATACCATGACCCTAGCATTTACAACATGAGGCTGATGATGATTTTGAAAGTTTTCAAACCAGAGATAGAGGTGAGATGGATGATGGGATCCTGACCCTGAGTGATGGTCCAGAGTTGCCAGCTTCGCTCTAAGAGTAAGCTGAATACCTTTAACAATCGACCACCACATGTCCGAATGCAACCGTCAGATTTCGCTGGCTTGATAACTGCACATATACAACCCTATATTTATGTCTTAGGGGTATTGGATCTCGAAATTTGATTGATTTTGGCATTTTGCAGGAACTAACGTTTCTATTAAATTTTGTAATGAGGTGTTTCATCAATTCTTTTAAATGTACGTATTATTGGATAAGTATTTGTATTCATTCTTTTAAAATACTTTAAATTCTACTTTTATTTAATATATGAGGTTTTAAATTCTATTACATACTCCTTTTGTTTCATAAAAAATGTCATTTTAGGATTTTATTTTTGTTTTATAAAGAGTGTTATTTTGTATTTCTAATGCAAATTATTAAACAAAATTCTAATTATAACCTTATTTTTTTTAGTATATTAATTAGAAAGAGAAAATTGTTATATGTATCAATAAGGATTAGTATAGAACTTTTATACATTTTCTTATTAAGTGTGAAATGTGTCTAAATGACGCTCTTTATGAAACAGAGAGAATATTTGTGTTATTCAATATTCGGTGGATTTTGTAGTAACGTCATTTACAAAGAATTTAATAGAAAATGATTGCATATCTTTCTCAAAGCAGCCAAAAAAAAAAACAATATCACAGAAAAAAAAAGGTATTGTTTTTTTTCATTCTTGAAATGATTAGTTCTTGTACTAGCTCCATGGCACTGTTTTGTATTTTTCTTCAAAAAGATATTTCGTTACTGTTTTCATATGTTTTGTCATATACATTTATGATATATATTGAATTTTTTTTGTACATGTACGTTAATATATTCATGTATACTTTTTTTCTTTAATTAGATGCAAATTGGAAGAACCTGACAACCAAAAAAAGTAAAAGGTAGATATTTTACGTGGACATCCCATGAAATTCATTTGTTGAAACGTTTACTGGTTGATGGTATCAAACAAGAATGGCGTGACTCAAATGGTTCTATAAGCAAATCAACAATTTAGACAAAGATAATGCCGGTTTAAAATAAAAAAAACTCGGATGCTGTAAAACTTACAAAATATTATGTGAATAATCAAATGAAATCTTTGAAAAAAGAATATTAAAGCTATGCAGAACTTCTCCGATGTAGCTCTGGTTTTGGGTGATCTTATCACAAAACAATTCACACCTTCAGATGAGGTGTAGGAAGAATATTTTAATGTAATATTTTAATCTTTTAAAAATATTCTATTAGTTTTAAGAATATTTTTTTTACTAATGAATATATTATATTTTGCCAGGACAGCCATACCATAACTACTTGCAGAATAACACTTTCGAAGACTATGAGGATTTGCAAATCATTTTTGAAAGTGTTATTGTAAGAGGAAACACCGTGTTTGGACTAGGTGGTGATATAAATGCTGCAATTTTTGAAGTTGAAATGATGTTCAAGAAAGAGAAGATGTAAATCATATGGAGAATGTCTGTGAAGTTAACATACCAACATATAAAACTTTGAAAGAAAAGCCACATTCTAGGAAGAGAGCTAAACCCCCTGGTAATGGAGATCCGTCAGAATCGACTAACCATGGTGATTACTCTGAAAATGTACTAACTGAAATGATTGAAGTTAGTACTAATCTCATAAATTTTATTCAACAAAAAGAAGAAATGTATCAAAGAGAAGTTGAGTTACGAGAAACTGAAAAAAAAAAAAATAATGTTTGGAACGCTATTAAAGAGATTCTTTGCTTTGAAGAGCTAGCATATTCGTTATGATGCAGTAATCAAGATTCTCACGTTGAAGATGAATGACGTATTTGTTAGCATGTCCGTTGAAGAACATTTGGGTTGGATTCTCCGTAACACCTAGAATACTAGTTTTAGGCTTTTAGCTATGCATATAACAAATTTAGAGATGAATTTGAATAATTGTTTCAGTTTACAATTTTTTTATTTTCTGCTTTTTCAGTAAATATGTCATTTGAGTTTTAAGCTAATAAAAGTTTCAATTTTTAATCAACTATTTACTTATTAATTGACTTATCAAAATTGGTCGTTTATTCCTTTTTTTTGGTCCAAACTTCTTTATAGGATTTTAAATGTTTACAAGAAGCCCATGAAGGGCACTTTTTGCAATCGAGTCTGCTAAAATATTTGCAACTCTTGGAATGAATCTAATCGAAATAGATTTGAAAGTTTTCATATCGGTGAAAACATGCGACAAAATCCCATGAATTTCAGAGAAGGATTGGTTTGAGTTGATCGCCTTGATTAAGGATTGGGCATCCGAGAGAATGAGGAGTTGATCGATGTTTTCCTCTCTCGCTGATTTCAGGGCTAATCGGATTGTTAGAGCTTCCGCCATTAGAGCTGAACCGACATGCAGGGCTGTGCTTGAGGCTTGTATCGCTCCGTTTGGTGTGTTTTCGAAACACCATCCCATCCCAGCCGCTTTCTTTTCTTTGCACCACGCAGCATCCATATGGCAGGTCACATATCTAGGCTGGATCGGGAAAGTCATTGGGCAGGAAAGTGAGTCCGTTTTCTTTGTTTGTTTGATCTGGGTTTTGGCAAGATACCATTCTCGAGCATCTGTTATGCTTTTTAGACCCGTCTCTTCTGGTGAGAAGGCTCTCTCATTGAAGATTTTTTGGTTCCTAGCAGTCCACAAGTTCCAAATAACCCAGGCATGGAGAAAACCCCTTTCAAGACCAGTAGGGGGAGGGTATGCAACCGGTTAAGAGTTGAAAGACCCGAGGCTACATCCTCCATCTCTTCCGGATTGAATTCCTGTGCCCAAGGTAATTTTATCCAGACTTCCAAAGCAAAGGGGCATTTAAATAGGAGGTGAAGGGTAGTTTCCACACCTTTGCATTTGCAGCATTTTGGATCACTAACAATTTGTCGAATGTATAGCTGATCTCCCACAGGAAGTCCTCGATGTAAAGCTTTCCACAAGAGGAGTTTGACTTTTGGGGCTGAGTGGATCGACCATACCAGATCATTCCATTTCAGATCACTTATCACTCCAGAGTCAGAGCTCAACCTCGTCTCTTCCATAGTGCTCAGGTAACCCGACTTAGTTGAGTAAACTCCATTTGTGTTTTAACCCAAATACGATGATCTTCATTCTTCCTCCAGCTAGGCTTGATACATAAGATTTTTTCTTTATAATGAGGGAGGTATGCTTCAATTTTCCCCCGATCCCTATCCAATGCATCCTCATTTAGCAGATCTTTTACTTTCAGGTAAATAAGCTCTTGAGGGCGGGACCATAGGGGCGTAACAGTTCAGATGATGACAACCAATCGTCATTCCAGACCTCGATAGACTCACCATTCCCCATTGCCCATCCAAGGTGTTTCTTCAGGAGATCTCTTCCGGCAATGATGCTTTTCCAGCCATGGGAGTGTATCGAGGGTAGTGAGCATTCCAGAATGGAGGTATCAGGGAAGTACTTGCCTTTAAGAATCCTTCTGAGAAGGCATTGAGGTTTTAAGAGGAGCCGCCCGGCTATCTTTGCAAGGAGAGAGTCATTAAAGATAGCTATGTCTTTAATTCCTAATCATCCATATTG